AGGTTTCTTCTTCTTCTTCTTCTTCTTCTTCTTCTTCTTCTTCTTCTTCTTCTTCTTCTTCTTCTTCTTCAGATGCATGATTCACCTTTTCAGACGGACGTTTTGTCTCAAGCCATTGTCGTCGTTGACTGCCGAGCATTGAAATGTTGTTTCCCCAACTGTATGCATGCGGCTAACTGGTGAAGTAAAGCCCAAAACTGATTTGAACCTGTTATTTCAATGTCTTGATTGTGTTCGCAAGCAACCACACCACAGCGCTGGTGAATCATTCTTATAAACAGAAAGGAACAGAAAGGCACTAAACGCGTTTGACTGAGGTCAGCCACATGTTGGAACACGAGACAAAAGTTGTATGTATTACTGTCGTGTGTTATCAGACCGACCAGTGTCCGGCCATGTCTCTTCCTCGTGGACTTTATCTGGGCATGGGACAATCGCAGCATAGGCCGTTAGAGAACTCTTATATAATTACATTTTCCATTAAAGGTAATCGCATGTGACCTCATGGACTTGTCACGCGAACAGCCATGTGTCAACATCTTAGAAATTTGGCAAGACTCCTTTGGTAAATCACCCAAGGTATTATTATTTGAAAGGAATTTTAGTTGCTTTGATTGAATCTGGGAGTACGCAACTGTTGAGTGGGATGCCAACATGTTTCAGATCTATTTCAATGTGTTAACTTTCTATTGAAAGGTAGGTGATAGACAGAGGTGCATATTTGTTTTTAATATAAACTTTTTATACAATCATTTATTATTTTCTTTTACGTACATATCTAAACAGATCGGCCATCTGTAATGACTTGATAGATATTCTAATTTTGGCACATCTGTTGTTGTTGTGTGGGTTTTTTTGCGTGACAATAAATAAACCGACTCCCATTAAAATCTGATTTTGTCAACTAGAATCTAGGTTATTTATATATAAAAGAAGGGTATTGAAGTAAAACACCCCGTTTCTACATTTTCCTATAATCTTCTTTTGATGTTACAATTCTGTTCTTGTTTTTGTTTATGTTTTTCTTTTTTTAAAAGCTAGATCTAAACGTAACGAGTTGAAGTCGGTGTCTGGTCCTATGTGCCCCTGCATAGACTTCACTGTCCCAGGTAGCAATAGTACGATATGTTTTACTGACACTCTCACTAAGCCAACAGACAAGAATGTAGTCCGTGTCCAACTGTCTCAAGGATAGGGGAAGGGGGCAGAGGGGGGCGCCAGTCAAGCACCACTTCCTCTCTGACGCAGGATTCTCATTTTCTCCTAATACTAACGTTTACTGTTACACTTTTTCTCCTGCTCTCTTTCGTGGCTCTCCGTCGACCGTGAGTTCAGTTGGGCAAAACACCGACAGTGTCACCACACACAAACTCACAGTGTAGGGCTATAAGTCGTCGAAGTAGACTAATAGACTGATGGGTCTGTAACCACATACATGTATACACCAAGAGAAAAAGGTTTTCGGATTTTGCTTTACTTTACAAACCCTCATTCTTACAGAAAAACACATTAAAAAATATTTGCTAATCTGGTCCTTGTATTGAAAACACCGATGAGTTATATTACCGTCGCGACTTACATTCATACTTTTCTAGACTATATCTGGAAGGTTCATTAAAATGGGCTCTCCGATTCAAGCTTTAAGTGGGTCAGGAACCATAGAGATTTTGTGCTCATCAAGGTAGCTCTATGTAATGAATACACGTACAGCGCATATACTGTGAGCACAGACTGAGACCAAAAGATGTTGTTTTTTCCCCTTATATAAAAACCCCCTTCCTTTTGCTTTCAAAGGAGTTGTTTAAAAATACGTTTTAAAAATTACGTGTCGACAACTGCTTTCACCTTACCCTGTTGCGGTTTCTCAGTCAGATTCGTCGGCCAACGACCACGTATTTCTCAACATTTGCTTATTTGAGTAATTCTTAATTCAAGTTGTATCTGTTTATCTTGTCTGAAGGGTCTTGTTACGCTTTGTGGTATTATCAATTGGATATTATCTTTCTTTACATTAAACGATTGTCTAAAACGCGTTTTATCAGTTAGTTGGTTGATGTTGTCCCTAAAAACTAAATATCTCGACCTACTCGTACTTTTTCCTGCTCATGTTATTGTTTTCTTTTCAGTTCAAATTCGGACCAATTCAAGAAAGTCACTCTCTCACAGCTGGACTGCTCTACGCCGTCAATAGTCAATTAATTTCCCTTCTTAAGACAGAACTTGCTTTCGTCTGAGGTTCGTCTGAGCTCGTATCAAAATGCCTGGATCACCATACATCAGCTACCAAAGCAGATCTAGCGAGTCTGTGGAAAATGTTGGCGTTCCGTACGAGGATCGTCCTTACCACTCAGATAACATCCCACCAGACTGGGCAGACGACGATGCATCTAGTGCCATTGTGGTGTCCACTGACAGTTGTCTTCAATCAAAAAGTCTCCCAAGCACTGGCGGATTCATAAACTTCCACCGTGTATGGCTCGGCCTTGCAGTGACGCTGGCGTGCTACAACACGGCCTTCATGGCCACCCTACCTCTAACCGCTCAGTATCTCACTCATCGGGTGGCCCACGACTGGTACAACTTCAGTAACTTCAGCAAAGAGATCCCATGCACCAAGGAGGCGAACACTTCGGCTACAAGGTATGAGAGAGAGAGGGTGAGAGAGAGAGAGAGAGAGAGAGAGAGAGAGAGAGAAAGAAA